AGAAACATCACTACAAACATACTTCCTGATGTTACATTACATAACTTGAGTTTCTTTTTGTTTTATTGCCAATTGTTCCCATTGGAATATAAACTCCACAAGGCATGGATTCTGCTGATTTTGTTCACTTTTGTATTAACCCAGAACAAGATATGGTACATTATTGGAATTCAACTCTAATCTTGAAAAACGTGATTAGAGTAGAATGAGTTCATAGGGGTGGAACCTAACCCAGTCTGACCAGTGTCCTTATAAGACCTGGAAATTTGTACTGGATTTGGGGGCTGGAAATCTTGGGTAGTTTAGAGAGACACCAAAGATATCAGGACACAGAAGAAAAGCCCATGTAAGTGGTGCTGGCCATCTATAAGCCAAGTAGAGAGGGCACAGAAAAAACAAACCTGCCAACCCCTTGATCTTGTATTCTATCCTATAGAACTGTGAGAGAATAATTATATAATAATTTATCTACATAAAAACCCTTGGTGTAGCAAAACAAATTTTTATTTTAAATAAATAAATAAATAAATTTCCTTGACATACTAAGAACTTGCAAATCGGTACAAGAAAGTCAAACAACCCAACTGAAAAACAAGGACAATAATATGTAGTTTCTGGAAACAGAAATATGTTCAAATGAATTGGGTATATATACTGCTGTTAAACATTATTTGAGTTAAAAAAAATTCACCAAACTTCTCAATTCCTTGTTCAATTTTTCTGTCAGTGTGTAACAAACCAACTCAAACCCTAATGCCTTCAATTCAACAAGCATTTAATTTGCTCATTTCTGCTTTCTGGTCAGGGCTCACTGGGTGTTTTTTCCACTGGTCTTTACTATAGGCACTCATGGACTTCCAGTCTCCTATATATTCAGATGGGRCTGGAAATCTTGGGTAGTTTAGGAGTCCARGAAGGAACTAATTCAGTAGTCACAAGGCCCAGTATCTTAAATACCTGGGAAAACCAAGTTGTATGATCAAGCCCAGAGTCAGTATTGTGGACGACACAAGATGTAATGCTAGGAGTTGTATGGTTCACTGGAGTCCATCACTACAAACACACTTCCTGATGTTACATTACATAACTTGAGTTTCTTTTTGTTTTATTGCTAGTTGTTCCCATTGGAATGTAAACTCCATAAGGCATGGATTCTGCTGATTTTGTTCACTTTTGTATTAGCCCAGAACAAGATATGGTACATTATTGGAATTCAATAAATTTTCTTGGATGAATATGTCCAGTAAACCTAGCTAGCTTGTGTAAAATAAAATGGTATATATTAGGGAAGGCATGTATTTCTGTGTACATAATAAATTTCTGGAATGATAAATATTTTATTAACTAGGAACTGTACTCCAGAGAATAAGGGGGCATTTGAYTTACATTATTTATTCCCATAATGTATCACAATTTATAATGTAGAAAATATATAGTAAGATATGAGAAACATTTTAATTTTTGTAATTTTTTAAAAATTTRTAAAACTAAAATTAGAAGACTAAGGCCAATAAACTTGGAAAAATTATTTTAGTGTGTCTCGCCAGTATAATAATATTTTATTGAATATACAGTTAAGTACTACACAGTACATTGAGTATCTCAATAACAAGATTCTTTGTTGGTTTTTTGTTTGTGTTTATTCTGGAGAGGGGTGCTGGGGATTGAACCCAATGTACTTTATCACTAAACTACATCCCTCAGGTAACATCCTTCAGTAATTTACTACCACTGTCAAATTCTAAACTATGAGGAAAGAAGTGGATAAGATAGTATTTAAAAATTTTTTAAATAACTGTTGATTTGTTGAGATTGCTAAAAATGTGTTGGAAATAATAGCAAAAATTAAAATTCTTCAGCTCACTTTGAAATTTTTTTAAAAATTCTTAGAATAATAGAGGAAATCAAGAACAAAACTGCAATAATATCTAAAAAATAATAATTAAAGTACTCTCTGTGGTTACACTGAGTGAAGTAAAATTTAGTCTTAAACAYACGTATTACTAAAAGGAGAATGAAAGAGTTTTCAGCTGAATAGGTTAGAAAACAACAAAATGAGCMTAAGGAAAATGTAAGAAAGGAAATAGTAAACTTTAAAAATGATGTTTTAAAAGAAAGCTACCTAGCTGACTGCTTTACCCTCCTAATATATCTTCATACACTCGGTCACTATGCTGTGGCAGATTGTTTCTCCATGACACTATGCCTGTATAAATAAAATTCTTCAGATTGTCCTTAAAATGACTCACAAGACTCTTCATAACCTGACTCCCATCTACTCTTCCTTTATTTCTTACCTTGCCTTTTTGTTCCGCCATACCACTGTCCCCTATCCCCTGTTCCAACCTATAAAGTTACAGAACTTCCTTTGGTTTAGTGAACACGATAAACTTTTTGTGACTTTCCAATCCTTGAGTTTTGCACATTCTTCCATGGGCCTGAAAGGCCTTCTCACTGTTTTGCCTGGCTAATTATTATTCAGTCTTCAGGACTCTGCTTAAATTCTATATTCTCTATAAAGCTATAATACATGTATATGCACATATATTTGATAGTCTCATGTGCTCTGATATTCTCACCAGTCAGTATCAAAGACATATTTAAATAAGAAGATCAGAAATCTAAAATTACATTGCTTAAAATTATTAAACACTTTTCCAAAGCTACTTTTGCCAGAATAAATGAGTCTAGAAGAGTATACTGTGTGCTAAAAGAAGTATCTTAAATTTAGCAAATGATATGGGTAACAGATATAATATTGGGGAAAACAAATATCTTTGAATATTCTCAAGATGAATTTTAGGTACATCAAAGAATTAAATATGAACATTTAAATTATTCAAAAGCTAGAAGAAAATAGAAACTAATACTTGTCAAACCTATAGATTCATATTATATATTGTGTACATGCACAAATATGTAGTAACATATTCCACTATTATGTATAATTATAAGGCACCAATTTTAAAAAKTTTTTTTAWACATTTTTTACATTGTTGCATGGAAATACAATATAAGCCACAAAAAATTAAATTTTTAAATAGCCACCTTAAAAATTAATATAGGCAAAATTGTAATGTTTTRTTTAACCCAGTATGTCCAGAATATTATTTCAATACATAATCAATATAAAAATTATTAATTAGCTATTTTACATTATTGGATGTTTTGTACTAAAAGCCTTTGAAATCTGTTGTTTATTTCACACTTAGAGCACATCTCAGTTCATACAAGCCACATTTCAAGTGCTTGGTAGCCACTTATGGATAGTGGCTGCTATTAATGGACAGAGTGGCTGTAGAAGAAATTAAATATAGAAGAAATAGAAKATATCATAAAGAAAAAAATGGTAACATTGACTGTAGGAAAATAAACAATTCTAATGAAATAAAAGGAAAAAATATTTGTAGCATAACACAGTGTAGCATTCTTATTCTTAATATGCAAAAAATTCAGACAAGTCACTGAGAACTCCTAAAGGCCCAGAAAATAAATGATAATGACATAAACAGGCAGTTTACAAAAGAGGATAAAACATAGCAATAATAAAGAAGTACAAATTTGACTGGATACATTGCTCAATCAATGTATCCAGTAGAATGCTTGCTTAGCATGTGTGAGGCCCTGGGTTCAGTTTCACTGTGGGTCTAGTGGGGGGTGGGGTGAAGCCTAATTAAAACAATAGTAATATTTTATTTTTATTTGTCAAAGCAGGAGAGATTATAGAACTATAATTTTCAGGATTACACAGAAAGCAGTAAAAGGGTGTTCTTATAGTCTATGAGAGGTACTATAAAGTAGTAAAACCCTTTTAAAGGGCAGTTTAGCAGCAGGCACCAGAATTCCTTTACTGGGAATCATAAGGAAGCAATACTAATCATAGCAGAAAACTGCATAACAAAATGCTCACTTTGGCATTGTTTATAATAATGAAAAAAAATAAAAACTACATAAATTCCTTACAATTAAAAAGAGTAGTTAAGGGGCTGGGGTTGTGGCTCAGCGGTAGCGCACCTGCCTAGCATRTGCAAGGCCCTGGGTTCGATCCTCAGCGCCACATAAAAATAAATAAATAAAATAAAGATATTGTGTCCAACTACAACTAACAAATAAATGTAAAAAAAAAAATAAAAGAGTGGTTAAGTAGTTTATGGTTTAGTCATTTAATTATATACRTTGCATAATATAACATGAAAGTCTTTTTAAAAATATTTTTAGTTATACATGGACACAATGTCTTTATTTTGTTTATTTTTATGTGGTGCTGAGGATCAAACCCAGTGCCTCACACATGCAAGGCAAGTGTTCTGCCACTGAGCCACAACTCCAGCCCCCATGGAAGTCTTTTTTAAAATAACAAACTCAAAAAAGATACAGAATTAAATCTAGAATTTAGTGCTGCACAATTCTGTGCAGCACAAGACTTAAAAAAATTTTTTTAGAATATTGTTTGTCTTGGGATAGAAAAACTTTAGACTTCTTTTTTCCCAGTTTTCTGTTTTTCTCAGTTTTTAAATGTCATAAAATTAGACTGTATTTTATCTTCTTGATACGGAAAAAAACTACTTAAAATGGTGGGATTAATTTAACACATTCTCAGCCATACCTTAATATGTACAATTCAAGTGTGCTCAACTCATGTTCTAACAAATCAATTTATACTTCAGAAAAGTACAATACTTAGCTAATGATGAATTCCCATAAATAATCAAATATTTGGGATTTGACTCCATCTTTGTTTCTAAGTAATGTTTCTTGACCTTCTAATAAAAATTTRCCTCTATTTTCTTTTTCTGTTTCCTTTACTTCTGGCCTATGTCTGGCTTCTAGAAAAAGTGAAATAATATTTTTTTAACAAACCAGCATTGTAAATGTGTAATTTCCATTTTCCTTCCCAGTGTCCTAAGGTTAAATAGCTTACATCTGCAGCATTTAGTATTTTTATGTACTGCTTTGCTCTTACTATTTTGATTAATACTTCCCCCCCCCCTCATTTTAAGGTTATTCTGGTACAAGTAAATCCTGGGGAAGCATTTACAATAAGAAGAGAAGATGGACAGTTTCAGTGCATTACAGGTAAGAATGGCAATTTATTACCATTTGTGATCAAAAAAATTGGTGATTCAAAATAGTATATATGCTTATGGTTTCTTCCTTTATTTCTCATTACCACCATACGAAAGCACAATACTGTTTTATGTAACTATTGCCATAATATCCTAACTAAACTCTTTGCCATGGTTTCTTGATTAATCTTTCTGTATTTTATTGTTCATATTACTTCCCTACTTAGAAATCTTCAGTGACTCTAGTCCAGATTCCTTAGTCTTTCAAAAAGATAACTGCAATTTTCTAGTCTTGTTCCCACTTCAATTCCAACATTGCTTCCCTTTAATCTTTTCTAAGTTATCTTAATTACTGTCTTTCAAACCTGTCTTGTGCTATCAGTAATATTTTTTTTTAATCTAGAATTCATCCTCTATAACCACTATTCCAGCCTGTACAAATCCTACTGCTTTAAGACTGAACTTAGTTCTTACCTTTAAGAAGATTTTTGTAATCTTCCTTTAGTGAGCATCCTCTTAGCATTTGGGGGCTGGGTAATTCTTTGCTGTGGAGGGCTATCCTGTGAATTGTAGAATGTTTAGCAGAATTCCTCACCACTTTTCATGAGCCACTTCTCCTTACCCCCATTTAGACAAACAGAAATGTCTCCAGACATCAACAAATACCCTTGGGTAGCAAAATTGTCCCCAGTTGATGCAAATCACTTTCATATGTAAAGATGAAAGCAATAAAAAATTTAGTGGCTAAGATGGGCCCCCAATCCAAAAGTATCCTTATGAAAAGGGGGACATTAGACATACATGTAGGAACAGTGCCCTGTAAAGATAAAGGCAGAGATCGACAAGCCAAGAAATGGCAAAGATCACCAGGAAACCATCATAAGGTAGGAGAGAGGCTTGGAACAGAATCTACCTTATATCCATCAGAAAAAAAGCCAACCTTCCCAACACCCTATTATTTCATTTATAGGCTCCAAATCTGTGAGACAATAAATTTCTGTTGTTCTAAGTGAAAAATAAAAGTCACTGGCTGTGGAACCTGAATTTAAATCTCAACTCTGCCTCATACTAGCTATATGATCTTGCTCATGTTACTTAACCTCTATAAATATTTTTCTTCTCAATAAAATTGCCATCCCAATCAAGAACAGTATATCTAATAGGATAATTGTGAGGGTTAATTAATACACATACAGTGTACTCAGACATGGCACAAATAAGGTACTCAATAAATGGTGGTGGTGGTGCTAATAGAAAATGACCTCCATCTCCTCTGAAATCCTGTAATACCAATGACTGTGCCATTAATTTATCAAATAACTGTGCTATTTTATAGTAGTTCTAGTTTTCTTTTCTTTTAACTATTTAAGTTTTGTATTATTTGATATAAAAATTTTATTCAGTTTCTCCAACTATGGTCTAAGCACTGAGCAAATAACATCTCATATTTATTTTTATTCCTTTGAACCTAATAGTTTATTTAATTTAAAAAGAGTTCATTAGAGGTAGGGTGAACATATACTTTACTATCATCCAAACTGGAATGCTTCTGAAAATGAAAGAACTTTTGTAAGTACTTAATGACTAGTATGAACCAAGACTTATGGTATTCCCCTCTCCCCCAYTTTACCAAAGCTATAAATAGCATACACTTCATTACCTAAATGAAAATAAGCCCATCTTTAACTATGTGTTTCATAGAATGTGAGTTTCTAATAGATTTATTTTTATATCTTTTCCAAATTGTTTTCAATAAATATTATTTATATTAGAAACATTTTAATAAATGTATCATTGATCTTTTCAAGCACATTGGCAAGCTGAGTATGGTGGCACAAACCTAATTTATAATGTGCAGGCAGTACTAATAGTATCCTAATGTTAGGGACTAACMATCACATTAAAACACTTTTATACAGGGACACATTTCTCTGCTTCACTGGAAAATAGAAGTTCCTTACTCTATATGATAGATTTTAAGGATGGAAACTGAAGATTAGTGAATAGAATTTTTTTTTTATTGGTTGTTCACAACATTACAAAGCTCTTGACATATCGTATTTCATACAATAGATTGAAGAGGGTTATGAACTCCCAATTTTACCCCAAATGCAGATTGCAGAATCTCGTTGGTTACACATCCACAATTTTACATAATGCCCTATTAGTAATTGTTGTATTCTGCTACCTTCCCTATCCCCTACTATCCCCCTCCCACTTCCCTCACATCTTCTCTCTCTACCCCAAGTGAATAGAATTTTTTAAAACACAGGAAAGGAAAAAAGGGAACTAGACATAAAGAAAAAAGGCTTTCCCCTCTGTTTATATGTTCATTACCTAAATGAAAATAAGCCCATTTTAAAAGTGAGAGTAGGAATAGAAGGGAAGCAACAGGTAGCAAGGAGAAAGAGAAAGTYTCAAGGAAGGGAAATCTCATGCCAGTGAAGTGGAGAAGAAAGATCCTTAGACCAAGAGAGAAATTACAAGATGGGTTATGGGTGGAAGGAATAGTAGTGAATGAAGGACTGGGATTGAAGTCCTTGTAAAGACCAGTGTGCTCTCACTCCAAGCAAGGGAAGCATACAGAGAGAAGAGTATTGACTACAAGAATTCATCACCTCCCTTTTGTCATCACTAGTCACTGTCATGTAGCAAGCCCCTTCCTGGCTTAGTTCATCTCATATTTCTTTTTATCCCTTCAAACCTAATAGTTTATTTAATTTAAAAAGAATTCATTAGAGGTAGGGTGACCATATACTTTACCATCATCCAAACTGGTATACTTTTTAAAAATGAGAGTAGGAATAGAAGGGAAGGAACAGGTAACAAAGAGAAAGTCTCAAGGAAGGGAAATCTTATGCCAGTGAAGCAGAGAAGAAGAAGAGATCCTTAAACCAATAGAGAAGAGTGGGGGAGGAAGAAAAGAGAGGAGAAGGGGAGGGCAGAACTGGGAAATGAAATGTACCAAATTATGCTCTCTCCATATATAAATATACCATATATAAATATACCACAATGAGTCAAATGTGTGTATGTATATTTACATGTGCGTGTGTGTGTGTGTAATTACACACGCACATGTAATTATAGCACTCTAAAATAATAATAAAAGATCAGTAGTGTAGAGTAAGTGGATCAGGGAAAGGGAAGGTATTRGAAAATGAGATTGATCTAATTATCTTATGTGCATGTATGGATATAGCCCAATGAATCCTTTTTATAATTATAATGCACCAATAAAAATATATTAATTAAAGYAAATTAATTTTAAAAAATTTTAAAGAAAAAGAGGTCCAAGACCATCAAGTTAGAAAAGCTGTTCTCTGGTAGCCACTATACTCATTATAGAAAAATCTCTATAGTAAAACCTAAATAATTGAGATAAATCCAGTATAAATTAATAAGCATTTGAATTAAAGCTCATTCTTTTTAAAATAATTTGTTATCTTTCAAGAATTTATAAAAACAATTGAGGTGGCTGTGTTACTATAGTATGCTGATTTTAAATCCTTTGGGTATAGAACAAGGAGTGGGATAGCTGGGTCAAATGGTAGTTCCATTCCATCCATTCATCAGCAGACTGTAGTAACACAGCCACATCAATGTTTATAGCAGCTCAATTCACAATAGCTAAACTGTGGAAGCAACCTAGATATCCTTCAATAGATGAATGGATAAAGAAACTGTGGTATATATACACAATGGAATATTACTCCACATTAAAAGAGAATAAAATTATGCCATTTGCAGCTAAATGGATGGAGTTGGAGAATAATCATGCTAAGTGAAGTTAGCCAACCCCAAAAAACCAAAGGCTGAATGTTTTCTCTGATAAGTGGGTGCTGATCTATAGTGGGGTAACATGGGAAAAATGGAAGAACTTTGATGGGGCGGAGGGGAGGGGAAAGGTGGGGAGAGGGCATGGGGGTAGGAAAGATGGTGGAATGAGAGGGACATTATTACCCTAGGTACATGTACGACTTCACATATGGTGCGATGCTATATCATATACAACTATAGAAATATAAAGTTGTGCTGCAATTGTATACAATCAATCAAAATGCATTCTGATGTCATATATACCTAATTAAAGTAAATAAATAAAAAATATGGAAAGAAAMAAATTTATAAAAACAAAAACAAGGTTACAAAGAGCTTTGAGATCTACGTAATCGCCTTCCTTTATTATAGGTTCAGAATTTGTGTGTTACAGCTAGTTATGAGTAGTGCTTAATGTAGTCATACCTTTTCTACTGTAGCATACTTCCTAGAGAGACAAATTGCTAGTCATTTTTTCTGAGACTTTACTGTCTACTGAGGTGTACTGTGCCAGTTGCCGGTAATTCAGAGAACTAAGACAGTTCCTGCCATTCAAGAACACAGGAAGAGGGGAAATTAGCAATGATATACAGAAAAAGAGAGCTATTAGAGATGTGCCTAGGGTATTATGAGAACACAAAATGAGACTGTAACACAGAGTAGTATGTAATGGGAAAAAAATTTCCTGGAAGAAGTGAAACATAAGCTATTTTTAAGGAAAATAACAGCTAACCAGATGGACAAAGCATATTAAGACATTTTAGAGAGAGAGAGGGAAAAGTGTTCAAAAGCAGCCAGAGGGAAAAAATGACTTGAATTATTTGAATAACCACAGAGATTGGAATTGCTAAAAAGTTATATGAAAAGGGGGTGTGGCTAGAAATGAATCTCAAAAATGTAGAAAGAACTTGAAGTGGCTTGAGCAGCATACTAGGAAATTTAACTTCATTGGGAGGATGTGGAAGAGCCAGGAAAGATCCAGGGAAATAAACATCTAATTAATGATTTGAAAAGATTAGTGATGCCTTTTGTTCTATTAATATGTGATGTCTCTTGGCCCATAAATCTTCCTACTATAAACATCTAGAGATGTTCAATAAAATATAACAAATATTCTTTTAAATGCATGGCTAAGCTTCTTTCTATTCCCTTCACTTCCCAAAAAAGAAACAAAGTGAAAAAAGTAAAAAT